TGAGAAAATCTTAGGTTGATCTAAAAATAAAAGTTCTGTAGAATATCTTCCACCAGCATTTTCTGTAAAAACCTTAACCTGCCATGTTCTTTCAGTAGTGTTGTGCTATCACCAAATAATATTTGGCATAAGGTTTCTTTTTGTATAGGAGTTAACTTGAGTTCCTGAACCAAACTCTTTTCTACACATGATCTATGATAACTATCATCAATAAGTAACATTCAGACATTTATTGTGATACAAGCATACCATTAAAGTTTTTAAGTAGATTACATGTAAAGATGGCTCTAAAAAAAATAATTTAGTAGAATTTTTTACCTCTAACTTATTTTAATTGCTTGGAAATTCAGTTGATTTTGTTTTCAAATCTGGACCAAGTATTGGATAATGATGTTTTTAACATACAATGCATCTTACTTTACTTCGATGTGTTTTCGCCTAATAGCGAGGTTTCAAACAACATTTTGTCTTCAAAACCATTGATTTTCTTTCTTCTTTGTTTAAAGTGTCAGCTTTATTACAATCTTGGTTAGAGTGATTATGCTCACAGGGAAAAAAAAAAAAAGAAAAAAACATGTTTCTTACTAGATGGTAAGGAGTTTATTGAAGCAGATGTTATCTCATATTTTGAAATTGGTGAGTTTCTATCTTTCTTACTTTTCATTGCAATTTTCATTCCAAGCATTTTCACTGTTGAGTTTCCCTGTCCCAAGCTTTCAAAACATCAGCAGATAAGCATGATTCTACTACTGGATATAGCATAGCAGCTTAGTTTTGCATAGTTACTCCAGGTGATTCTTATCCTCTTAAATAGGGATCTTAGTTTATCATAAAGTTCTGACAGCTTCACATTAGACTGTTACTCATTAATGCTAAAAGATCTGATACATAAATTTCGATCAGAAGATCGGTTCATCCAGATCTAGATTTAAGATGCTCAACAGCTTTAATATAATTATTCTTAGAAGGTGAATAACTTTGATGATATCTCTTGCTTTGGTTTTTTGTTTCAATGAAGAAAGTAAATATTGAAATTTATCTTCTTCTTGTATGCTATCATCAGCATGTATGCGAGAAATGTCCCCAAAATGCAACTCTTGTTATAGGAGCTAAATCATATTTTTTAAATTTAACTTAGGAAGCTCTAAATTCAAGCCAGAAACTGAAAACTTTCATTGCCAAGTAATTGTACGTATTTTTCAAACATAGTTTTGACTTAAGTGAAGCAATCATTATATATGCTTCAATTTGATTGTATTCTTCACTATATTCTATATGCTCACGTAGTTCAGAACCAGTCTTAAATAAATGCTCTGACTTATCCCTAATTTTATTAAATACAACTGAAATTTGCTTACTTTCAGTCTTCATATCAGCTGTCAACTCATCAAACTGTTTACAAGCAGTCGTAAATTGGCGACTTGAATTTGTTCTTTCTTTCTTCAAATTATCTGTAACATTATCCACATTATGATTCTTCTTCGTTTCGTTCATTTTTAACTTCAATTACTTAAATTCAAATCTATCAACAATGAAATTTCAATATCACAGGAAGTTCTAATTACCTTCTCAGAGATGACAATAATGTTGAATATCAGCATACAAATTTAAAGTAACCCAATAATTTAAGTATATTTATTTACAGAAGTCTACATACAGCAGAAAAATTAAGATACTTATATAGAACAGTTTAATTAATTTTAACTTCAAACATTTTCTTTGGAATATATCTGAAAACTAGTTACTAGAATCTAAAAACTAAACATTACTATTTGGAGTGAAGCAATGAATACAGAAAATGATTCTTAACAGTATTTACTGAAGCAGGAGTACTATACAATCTAGACTATAAAAAATTTAAAGCTCTACTGTAGCTTGATGATTTTAGTGGTTAAGTGATATAAACACCTAACTAATACAGAATTTTATTAATTTTTGTTTATTATTTTGAGAATAAGCTTAAGAGTGCTGACACACAAAACTGTAAAGTTGTCTTTTTTTCAAATGCCAAAAATTATGTGACAAAATATGATTAGATATTTGTGATGGCAGGAAACTTTCATTAAAACCCAATATTTAAATACATGTACATTGTAAATGAACTTCTTTAACCACCAAGCCTTTAGTTTCACATATACCTTATACTTTAAGCTTTGCACTTTAAAGTATAATTAATTTCATATCCTTTTCTGAGTAACAATTGTTAATTTAACTTAGCTTTGATTATAAACAAATTATTTTACAGCAGTTAGACAAATCAAGCTGATTTAATTGAGAAGAAATGCCCTGTATTTAGTAAGAAATTTAATAAAAATTAAAAGGTAAATCTAAATGTCTAAAAAGTTCCATTGATATATATATAAGTGATATTTAATGACTTACAGATCTACAAATACGTAAAGCTGGTGATGTTCCTGGTTTAAATACCATTCCTGCTCCTGTTGTGCCATCTCGTGGTCCGTCCAGCCTTGGCGTGCCTTCTGTTTTAAGCCTTAACTCTGTTGATGATATGCCAGGTAAACATATCTTTTAAATCTTTTAATTGTTAAAAAATATTTTGTTAGCATGATATGTTTTCTAATAGAAAAGTGAAAAACTTTTTTATACTGTCAAAAAATAAATTTTTGGTTGTCAGAATTCAAATAGTATGTTAGTTCAACTTTTAAATTATTTTGGAAAACTATACATCGTAACTCCTGTGCTGGGCATATAAGGAGCATTGACAGTGATCTGGCATATCTTTTACTAGGCTATCTTTTAACTTTAAAGGCATAGTAGGGAAAATAAATGCTCTTATTAAATGTTTACCATTTGAAATTAGCTTTTCTTTCAGTTACACAGATTCAATTATAATATTTTCAAGAATAAAGAAAATGTTTGTCACATTAGTACTACAAAGGAACAGCACTCAAACATCTTAAACTATGTTAATTTTTGCTTATTCATGGTATTTTGTGATATTCATGGTATACTTGTTTTTGATATACGTGGCCTGTAATATTCATGGTACTTATTCACCATATTTTGTGATAAAATTGCTAAATCAGTAATTTTATGTATATCTTCTTAATGGAATAGTGTTGCTTATGTTATATAGAAAAACTGTCAGTTTTCGTACAGATGCAAGACTTCTGTTCTTTAAAATTTGGGCTTTATTTAATTAGTGAATGAACTAATGTTTACAGTTCTGGGTATGTAGAAATGGGGATAATTTAAGTAATGTATCATACCAAGAAGGGGATAGATCTAAGAATCATATCCATACTGTCTAATTTTTATTTATTTATTTATTTTTTTTTTTTTCTATGCTAGTCGGTATAAAATGTGTGGAAAAAATAATATACGTTCTGTAAAAGGGTGATCTAAATCACATGGTTTTAAGTTGATGCAGTTTTTTCTTATTAAGTTAATGTATGGGATCTCCGATGTCTGTAAGAGAAATAATGAGATTCACCATTGTGTAATGAATCATATTAGGAGGTAATATACTTGATATTGACTGTTTTCCTGTACAAGTGTAGGTGGCAAACCATGAGTAGTATTTAGACTATGTTCTGTAAATAAATTGTTTATCACAGTAGACAATGCAGCATACTCCTGAACTTCATAGTTAAGTTCTGTATTAAACTGGTTGAAAGTAAGTTAATATAGACATATGAAAAGGAAGCTTAATTTTGAATACATGTTCAAATGACACAAAAAATTTTCAAGCAAGTGGCTGTAAGTATGAAATTCAACTCATCTCAAATCAAATGACTATCAAGATCAAATGTAAACAAAAATACTGAAAAAGGTGCAAAGCTTATTCATGCAGATTATTGCATGACAGTATTGAAACATTTTTAACTAAATTTGAACATTTTTATTTTACATAAGATTTTTTTTAACAAGGGAACTGTTGTGTATAGCAGGATGGCACTTAGAAATCTCATCTGGAACAAAAGAAATGAAAAGTCTATCAGTATCTGATTAATCGGATTGAAAGCCATGAAAAATAGTTAAGATGCATCAAAGGAGATGTTTTAAATAATACCAAAACTATAAGAAGTAGGGAATTATATAAAAGTCAGCAATGGCACCTGCCTTTATCTAAAAAAGGCAAGAATGAGCAGGTCAGCAATAAAAAATAAGTCTTTTTATGACAGCTAAAGAAAATTGTTCTGAAAGAGTTTGTTCTTTGGAGCAGATAATTAACCCAATATTTTTATGATCAGGTGTTAAACAAACTTTGGAAACTGGTTTGTTTCATATACCCAGATACTGGCAACTCATAAACGCTGTACTATGGTAACGGTTCATAACACAGTGTTCTCTCTGTTAATTAATTTTTTTAATATTGTAAGCCTTTTTTGTAGTTCCACAATCCTTACACGTCTGTTCTTAATCATTTCTGTAGTTCTACAATCTGTACTCATCTATTCTTAGTCTGACTGGCTTCTATCTTTCCCCCAAATTCAAATTGAAAATGATACATCATCTTTATAGCAACCAACATCTATAACATTCAGTGAACCCATGACACACTATTTGAGTTCATTTACTTGGGTTGTTTGCAAGAGTGCTGTCAAGACTGACAGATGCATCAACAGTGGTATGTAGCATCCAAGAGAATTATTTCAGAGGAACAAAGGGATTTGTGAACATCTGGTGTACAACTGTCCTAAATGCTTCTAGAATGTAAATCTGGGAGCTTATAAAAACAGAATTGTGAAAATTGGATGCAGTATGGCGTGAAGTAGAGTTATCTTGCTAGCATGTGATATGAAGCACATATATATCTTATATTGAATGTTTATGAGGTTCTAATTTTTTTCCTTTTTTAAGATAGGGAAATTTCAATATGATCTTGATGTCCGTCTACTTTTTGTATAATAATTTATAACCAGTTATAATATAAGCATTTTCTTCTTTTGTAAATAGCTTGTATTTAACAACATAGTGCACTATGGAGCTTCATTGGTCTTTAGCAGTTTTTGATAGTTGTATTTATTTTTATCTTCTAAATTTACTTTTGATTAGAGATTCTGTTTTCAAAATATGAAGTTTCATTGAATATACAATCCAAAAATAGCAACACATCTGTTTGATGTAGTAAGTAAAGCAGTTGTAAAGCAGGTTTTGCTTAGAGTTTTCCAAAAATTATGAAATTGGTTTAATGCATAAAATTTAGCATTTTAAAATATAGCTACTTATCTCTTCATTTTCTTTTGAAAGGAGCTCACTTGTGACATTTTTAATTCTATTATTCCTGTTTTATTTATGCCCTAATTTTCCTACATCTCCCTTGACACCTAATAAACCTATCTTCATTCTCATACAGCAGCCGAGAAAGCAGGTGGGAGGAGAAACACAACCGAAGGTATTTTTATGTTCAAAAGTTTTTTTTTTTTTTTTTTTTTTTCACTCGCATGATTTCATGAACTACTTGCTGCCTGAAGCATGGATTTTAGTTTGATATAACATTAATAGCTTCACTTTCCTTATATGAAATTTAATTTGTTTTGTTTATTTTTACTTATTTGTTTGTTTTGTTATTACAAAGTTTATTGTCAAACAGGATGTCATTTTTAAAGACTTCTTCACGGTTTTTGCATAAATTGAATTTAATATCTAGAACAATTAGTGACCACATTGAGTCAGATCATCTCATTCTAAATATTTAGCACTGCCATTATTCATACATTGTGACACACTTTAATTGATTGCCTGTTTGCTATTAAATCAATATAAATTTTCTGCAATTTCTACCTCGTACTATGCATGATAAACTTTTAAATTAAAAAAGGGGTTCTGTATTATGTGTGTAATCTTGATAAATCGGCTGTAACTATGCTTTTGTTCTATATGGTATACTTAATATTTTTTTCATTGTTTTTATCGTAAAAAACATTTGTATGCTTTATATTATTTTATCGAGAAAGTAATTTGTTAAATATTAAATGTTCGAATGTCATTAAAAAAGGAAGTGATACTTGTGTCACTAGTGAAATAAAAATGTGCACAGTAATTTCTAAAAGCCCCCATCCCATTACATAACAAAAATTTTTCTCTGAAACAGTAACAAAAAAAATACTGTTTGACAATGATTCTTTACAAATATAAGATTCTGGTCATTATTAATTAATTATCCAATAAAAGCACTTACGACTTAATAAGTAGTCCATACCACCCAACACTTACCTGTTTTTTTCATAGAACAGTCAAGTTTTTCCTCACTCAGTGACAACATGATTCGACCTGGGTTCAAATGGGCCTGCTGCATGGGAGATTTCATGGTTTTTCCCAATTTATAATAATGTCTATGAGTCTGTTTCACTTTATAGATCCTCTATGAATGAAAGCTCTCCTTAGGCAAATAGCCCTCATATATTTTGCCATAACTCAGTGCAGTATATTCCATTCGTGGTGTACTTTTCTGAAGTCTAAAACTGAGGTTAAAAGACTACTTGCCAGAATAGAAAACTTACACGCTACAGGATTTGTAGAAAACTGATTGTACACTAATTGTACATTTTGCTGTAATTTCTTTTTTCATTGGAAAAATCTGTAAATTTTGATGTAACTTCTGGACGGTTAGCGGTCTTATAAGTGCTTATAAGTCCTTATTGAAAAAAAATATAAAGCCCTATAGGTGCTTACTTTTCTTTAAAGCCATTTTTTTTTTTTAGTGCTTATTTTTAGTCCTTTTTTTTTTTTTTTAATTGATGTGCTATTTTTCCCCGTACAAGCCGAAACTGAAAACAACTTTTCTTCCTCATTTGAATGTCAGATGGTGAAATACTCTCGGAATATACCCCTTTCTGATTATAACCTTTGTGCACCCTTCTGCCGTCGTCTATCCTTAAAGAATTGCGTGTGCCACATTATTTCTCTATGCAAATAATACACCCGTTTGAATTTCTATCAAGTAAAATTTGTGTTTCGTTCGCTTGTCATTCATCTTCGTGTTTATTATATATTATGCTTATATGAGCATATATGATGTTTGTTTATAATAAAAATAGTTGCAGTAACTGCTGAAGTATAGTAAACTTCTAAAAATGGTTGTGTTTTTAACAGATTAGCTTTTAAGGAAAATATTCGGAATGCCTTAATAAAGGGAAAGTAATCGAATAGTCAAAATAAAATTCCGGAAATTTAACGCCGTCTGTGAAATTAGAAATGAAAAACACCCCCAGTTTTTAGTTCTTTATTCTCCCGATACGGCAGCTGTTGATTCCGATTGTGTAACATCATGTAGGAAGAATTATGGCACACGTATGCGCAATAACGTTGCGATATTTGCAGAGATAATTCATTTGATCTGTCCGATTTGTTTAAACACTTAAAAGTATTTTACTGTGTTGCTAAGCAGAATATTTTCAGTTCATTGGTTTATTTTTGTGTGATGCACATAAAATTCAAAAGCATTATTAGCGGAAAATCTGAGCGGCTTCTACCCTCCCTCCTCTCTCCTCTTTTCAAGTTATGCTATCCGAATATCACCAATTTCTAAGTATGTGTTAGTTAAGCTTTTATTGTTGAAGCAAATTTTTGTATTCTGATTTCAGAAATGTTTTTTACTTAAGCTTGCAATACCTGTTAAGGGAAACTGATATACAATGAAAATTTAGAAAAGTTCAGAATTGAAAATTAAATATCAATATGAGTGGAAAAATAAATTGTATTTATTATTAGGTTCCAAGCAAATACCTTATATTTATTTCTCTATTTTGAACTGAAAATTCATATAAATTTTGTAATATAGTTTACTTCTGCATAGTTTTTTTTTTCTCTGTAAATCGTTTAAATTAAAAAAAAAAAAAGGTATTATTCCATGTTGAGTAATGCTTATCTCTCTAATAATACTGCATTTCTATTTTAAATTACAAGTCTAATTAAGGTTATGCAATTGTGTATAATGTATAGACAGGTGCTTATTTTTTTTAAAATGTGCTGAAAATGCTTATAGGTGCTTATTTTTTTACAAATGTGGCTATGAACCTGTGGAACAGGTGTTCCCAACCGGTTTCAGAAAAGGAATGCACTCAGACATTTTTTGAACTGTTAAGTAATTAGTATATGAATATAAGAGGACTAAGTTAGGTATTTACTAACGTACATTACATTCTATACTTTTTGTTGCTTATTTTATGGAACATGTTAGAAAATAATCTAAATCTAAATAAATATGTATTTTTTAAGTTTAAAAAAAAGGGTGTTAGGAATGTGTTTCTAGCAGTGGTAAGAGGGGTGCACAGGGCAAAAAAGATTTAAGAACCACTGTAATATATATATACATATAAATATGTAAGATAAAAATGTATGAACCAGAATTATAATATATATAAACATTAATTCTTCCTCTCTATTCTAAAATAAACTTCTCTGCATTGCATCATTTCTAGATCACTCTGTGGTCCGTGCGCTCTGAGACGTATAATGAACTGAAACTGCCGTTGTAAACCAAAGCTTTTTCTTTTCGTGCTTCCATCTTTCATAACTACGCCTTCTTTTTGCTTCTGTGCTAAGATGTAATTTCGTGGCTTGCTTTCTATCCCAACATATCAAAAATAAACTCTGTGGAAAGGCAGGACTAGAGTGCCAGTGATTGTGGCCACAAATATCATTGGAAATAAAAATGGAAAACGGCCTGACTGCCAAGTTCTTTAAATACTGCGCATCAAAAGTATGGGTCTATCATGCTAACAGTGTCGTGTCCTTCTTTGGACTATTTATGGCCAGACATCAGCAAGTTAGGCTTGGCCACTAAGGCCGAATGGGGATTTTTATTATGGCGGCACAACAGGCAGCACGATTACGTCCTGTGAAGGAACAGACGATTTTACATCCATGCCTTCTCAATTTGAACCTGGGCCACCTCATTACGGCAGTCAGAGTCACTAATAACTTTTTCCGATGTGTGGTCTGTACTAAATGTTTCGCTATCAATTATTTATTATGAAGGAGTAAAGATAAGCCTATAAAATTAAAAATTAGGAATGTGTTTCTAGCAGTGGTAAGAGGGGTGCATAGGGGTTAAAATTAGATTTTTAACAAGAAGTTAAATTATGTTTAAAAAGTCTTTAAATTCTGACTATATATATATTTTTTTTTCTTGCTTGCTTTTAAATTGATTTTGTGTTCCTTGGAGATGGTATACAGAAAGTGTTCTTATTATGTATTGATTATTAGTTTATTACTTTGCAGCTTTAGCACAAGTCATAGGCTTTTTAATTTACTTTTAATTACTTTATTTTGAATTTTTATATATGTGTGTGTGTGTGTATGCATGTGTATTTAATGGCAGTCATTAATCAGTTAAGGCTTTGGCCACTAAGGCCAGAAGTGGGGATCATTTTATTATGGAGGCACCTAACAGACAGACACCATTATGTCCTGTGAAGTAGCAGACAATTTTACATCCATGCCTTCTCAATTCAAATCTGGGCCACCTCGTTACGGCAGGAGTCACTAACCACTTTTTCTGCTATGCAGTCCGTACTAAATGTTTCGGATATACAATTACTTGTTATTATATGTGGAAGGTAGTAAAGAATTAGGCCTATAAATGGGCAATATGAAATATTCACCTGTGTGAGTGGATAGTTTTCAAGTCAGAAAGGTTAAAAATTTAATGAAAAACATGCTGGAGCATGTGTAGGAATAGTGTCCTCTATTTTGTTTGAAAATATTTTTTCAAATTTGTGTCCTCCTTAACATAATATTTATCATTAGAACACATAATTTTATTTAAGTTACATTTGAGAAATTATTTTTAATTTTGTATGTATATTTAGCACAAAGTAAAGGATGTAGTAGGATGATGTATGAAGAAGAAACTGTATGAGAAAAAAAGGACATATTTATCAAGTGCTGTAAAACCGTAAATACATTTAAAAGAAAGAAGTGCACTTGAAAAGGAAAGAAAGATACATTTTTAATGTGTTATATGCCTGCCACTATGATGAACATTGTATTTACTTCTGGTTAGAGTTGGGTCAGACTACAATCAAATTTTTGATATACTTGCTTCAGAATATTTTAATTATAGAAGTGCAGCTGTAATAATGTAGTTCTCCTTGATATTCTGTATACTAACAAGCAGTGGTGCCTGATGTGAGGGCTGGCAGCCAAAAAGGCTATCTGTGGAGTGCTAGTCTTGGGGCTCTAATGAACTGATTTAGCACTAAACAAGCACTTCATAAAAGAAACAATATATTTATTATCCATGAACAGTTTGGTGATATTCGAAAGATTCCTTTTTTCAAATGGGAATTAGTTATTTTGTGTAAACCTGTGTTTTTATAAAATGAAAGGTTCAATTTTATTGGCAAACAAAATTTTATTTAATTCATTTATTTGCAAAATGTTTACCTTTTGGGTCAACAATGTCTAAAAAAACTTTTAAAGTGCATAAAAATTTATTATGAATTAAATTTTGCTATAGAACTTTGTTTCTGATTCCATAGTAATCCTCAGCTTAATTAATTATTTTTGAATATTTTTATATCTTTGTGTTGTCATTTTCAGTCATTATTTAATGCAAAAATAGCATGTTAGATAGGAATGTTGTTATTCTGAATTATAGATTTATAAATGTGCTTTATTTTTAGGTTATCAGCTGTATGTTTATAAATCTGCTTAAATATTTTAGGTTATATATGGGATTGTTCTGACTGGGCAGTAGCATCTCAGAAGCCGCTGTCAAATATTGTTGAAGTGTCAACAAAAGAAGTACGGGATTCTTCAAGTGTTCCTAGCACTGAATCAAACAGTCGTACCAGCCAAATTGAATTGCTTCCTAAAGATGGGGAAAATGGTCAATCTGGGAATCTCAAGCTTTCAAGCAACCAATCAGGAAGTGAAGACTTTGAAAGACCAGAATCTGAGTACGTTGGTGATTCGGAAAATAATGACAATGATTTTGATGATAGTGTTCTTCCTGTGCCAAACTTTGAAAATATTTTGGGCATGGCTGATTTAGAATTTGCTGATGATGGAACAGACAGTAGTCCATCTCCTCATAAATATCAGCGTCATCCTAATTCGTATCTACCTGCCCATACAACAAGCACTGCTAATACAAGCCCAGATCACACCTGGAATGCAGACACTCGCCAAATTTGTGAGCTTTCTGATGATGAAGTCATGACATATGGTTTTCCACCTCAGGGAGGGCGTGGTTTTCATGTTCCAATAGATGTCTCGGGCTTAGATTCTATGTCTATGTCTGTCGGAGGATATACTTCAACTAATGCCTCATTTTCTGATATATCTGGTGCTGTCTGTGAGATTGATGACAGTGAAGCAAATTGTAGTGATGTAGACTATGATGGTGTAGATACTAAACCTTCTGCATTTCCTCAGGACAGGTTTTGCTCCACTCACTTATAGCCAGTTGTCAATTGTAAAATAGATATATTGGATAAGGTGTTGCTATTACTGTACATTCAACTTCCATTTACCAACCAAAATATTATATTCAGAGCTTTTATTGTTACTTGTCTTTATGAAAAACTTTGTAACTAGAAAGTTAAAACAAATCCGAATTTAATTCGATTTAGAACTGAATCACTTATATAAGCTTTAAATTTTCTTTAATGAATTGTATTCATTAATTTCACAATTTTATTCCTTTTAATTATTGTAACCTCTCCGAAATTAGTTTTATTTTAAGAAGCTGCTTCAGTTAGTAGAAGTCTGAATCTCCAGATCTGCATGCCTTTGCTTGTTTAAAGTTTTCATTTTGCCTTAAAATTTGTCCATATGCCTATTTTCACCTTTCTCTTTCTGTTTATTGATAACTAGAATAGATGTATTACTTTTCTTTTTCTGTTCCTTTTTTTATCTTTCTCTCACATAGATTATATTCAAAATATTAAGTAAAAAAATGAATAAAATCTTATAAAATTATAATGAAATTAATCTTAAGTTATTTGAAAATTCTAAATTCATCTGATGGTGCCTAAACAAATTTGCAAAGTGAACTTGATTATATGATCTTAATATGATAATCTGTAACATATAATATAACATGTGGCACATGGCCATATTTGATACTGACTTGTTAGTATAAAAAATTGAGAAGAATTTTCATAGTTAAATTGAGTGTGCATACTGTGGAAAGGAATACTGTCATAGTATAACTGAGTAGGTAATAATGACATTAGAAAATATCTTTTTATGAGCTATGGTAATGATGTAAGCATTTATAAAAATTATCAATTAGATACATTATAAATAATATTAGGCAAATATACTATTAAAAATGAAATGATGATAAAAATGATTAAGTTATATATATATATATAACTTAATATACAGCTCTGTTATATAGTAATATATCACTTAAACATAGAATCAAGAAATGGTTAACAATTGGCTACCAGAGACTACTGCTATTGCATTATAGTTGAGTACATGTTTATTCATGCTAAACAGTGAAAGTTTTAGTAGTTGTAATTCAAATGTAATTTTAAAACTACTAAAAAAATCATAGTTATCCTTGTAAAGCTAATTTTGAAGGATCAGAGAAGCAATAGTAGTCATAATACGAAACTTCTAGAACGATGTTTCTTAAGTTGTAGATCAGGACCCCAAATGGGGTCGCAAATCTAAATGTTTGAATCACGAAAATTTAATCCAGATACATGAATTTAAAGAAATATTATTCACACTCCGTTCGTTATCTTTAATTTAATATATTACATTTTTCCTACAGTGCAATTATAATATTGTTTTACTGGTCAAGTTGAACCATAAATTATATTTACATATTGAAAATTACTACTAAAAAGAAAATGAGAAGCAATATTTCAAAATAATTACATAGTGTATATAAGTGAAAACAAATTGTATGTCATTTAGAAGGTTAAAGTTCCATTTTTCCCCTTTCATTAATTAATGCTGATTTCACTTTCATATTATGAATGCATTTATTTATTTTATATCTCAAGTTTGTGATACTTATTTTCATCATTAAAGTTTAGAATTTAGTAATTAGGTTTTACATAAAATTGAACAGTAATGTTATGATTATTAAACTAGTAGAATAGTAATATTAAACTTCAGTTCACAGCAGTTTAGATTTTGAAATTTCTCCAAAGCAGATTAGATTTTTATAGATGAGATTCATGAAATTTTGCACTATGTATGCATCACGCTTTTAAATACCTGAGTATACTTTCAATCATACATTTCAGTCAATTTACATGTTATTCTAATATTTACCTGTTTTTACATGCAGGCATGTATAAGGCTTTTTATAATTATTTATTGTTCATTTCTTGTCAACAATTACTCTTATATTATTATCACTTTGTATAAGTTGAACCAGTTTTAAATGGTTTCCTGTTGCGGTTTTTGAACTTGTTAGTAAAATAAAAGTTATACATAGCGTAATTAATTAATTTTAATAATATTAAAAACCATGTAATGAAGATATTATTAGCTAATGTGAATTTTTAATAATTTTGGGTAATTAATGCAATTGGAAGAACGAAAGTTATGGTACATGTAGTTTGCAACATTATATGTAACATTAAATACTGAAAAGTATTTAATGTTACACATAATGTTAATATGTAGTTTAATCCAAATGTAATTGATAGTACTGACTGAAATATTTTGAATCATTTCTATCTTTGTTTCTGGATATTAATAATGTTATTTTTCAAGATCTCTTTTAGTCAGCTGATTTTTTAACTCAAGGAGATTCAGACAATGGCTAAATGTTTTTCATACATAATTTTAAAATGTTTACAAAATGCACATGTTATTACTATTTTTATTCTGTTTGTTTTATTTCAATATTTAGAATTTTTGTAATTAGAAATCATGGTGATTTTTATAGAATTTAAACTTTTCTTAGCATTAGAACTACATTTTGAACTTTCTATGTGTATCAGAACAAACTAACTTGGAAAAATTTAGTAATCCATCATTCATCATCATTTTTGTAAATGGACTTTTTATATATGTATTTATCATTCCTAATTTAATTAAGATATTTTATTTCTATGCTGGTGTAATATAAATGAGAAGGAGCAAAAGGTGTCCTGCAGTTTGTGATAACTTGGATCTGTGGCAGCTGATTTCTGTCTCTTTCTATGTGGTCTGCAGTGCAGCTGCTTTTGTGCCAAAATCACTTTCGTTTTTACACTTTTCTTTTTTAATTTTATACTGAAATTTTTTACTGTGATGAACTTTTCCTGTAAAATGTTTTTCAATGAAGGAAGAAAATCCTTTGATGCTGTAGTCATCATTTTTTGGGAAGTGTATTGTCTTAATTCAAGTTAGAGTTGCTGAATAATTAGCTATTTAAAGTTATTAACATTCCACAGTGCCAGGTTTCTCCTATAAATCTGTTTTATAAATTTCACATGTTACACCTTTGCACTAAAACATTACTTGCAATAATTTTATAATGAGGAAATATTAATATTTCATTAATTCTTAAACATTTTAGAGTGTTACTCTGTAGTTAGAGATTTAACTATATAAATAAAAATGAAAATATTGTATTATAGTTTAAAAGAAGTTACAGTATTTTTTCACCAACTTCCATTTCTCAAAATAATACACTTAATCAACCCTTTTTTTTTTTCTAAAATACTTAAATCAGATTGTATAAATTTCCAGTAAATTTCAAGGTATAAGAATCATTTTGGTCATATCTAACTTTTAATTCATAGATAAGTTATTTAATCATTAATTCATAGTCATGAGATTAAAATATTTAATGCAATAAATTTAAATTAAATTAATTTTTAATGCTTATTTTTAAATGGTTTTGAATGATAAGTGGACTCTGTTAATTTAAAAAATTTAATTCTTCATAAATAAAAAAGGTTAATTTGATATGAAATATGTCTATTATTTCTTCATCTTATGCATTTAATGTATTTTGGAAATTTTTTCCTATAATAATTTAGATAAATATAAGGCTTCCATGCATTTAATTATTTATAATATTAAGATATCGATTTTGTATGGATTTTCATTGACAACCAATTATCAGATTTTTACTTGATGATAAAACCAATTTTTTGTCTGTGTGGAGAAAAATATGCTAATTTAAAAATTAGGCAAAAGAAGAGTCTTGCATTAACATTGTTTTTAATAAAAATCTATACATTTTAATGATAACTGACACCTCTTTTTATGAGGACCTCCCCCTCCACTTAAAAGAAGGCCCAAGTGCTGTTCCTTCTCCTAAAGAAGAAGGAGCTCTGTCAGTCCTCTCATAATGGATAGAGTTTTATTTAAAATCACCACCAATTTAAGTACAATTTTTGTCTTATTTTACAAATGTTTTCATATATGAAAACCTCTGTAATCATATGTTTTTAATTGTCTAAATAAATCTGCCAAAATTTATAAATTATGTGTTAAAAGAAAGCATGTGAAGTATATGAAAAACATATATTTGTTTGCTTATTTTTAATATATTATTTATATTTTTATAAATTTTAATTGTTTTAAAGAAGGGAATCTGGACAATTTTTTCTCTTTAAAATGATGAGCTGCCCATAATTTGTAGATAATAAGATTTAAATTATTGACGAACTTTGTCTAAATACCTACTTTTCTTTCTTATAATATACTAATGGTTGTTAACTGTTTGCATTAATGAACTAATATTTTAGAAATATAAATATTTTTGAAATTATTATTCTAATTATTACAATAATTTGAATACTTATTTTTAGTGCCTAGAATAATATTAATCTATATCTAAAAATAATGTTTCAGTAATTTATGCATAAGTTTTTATAAAGTGAAATTTTATTGAAATTGCTAAGAAGTTTGAAGCTATATTCATGCTAACATTAAAAGATTTTGCTGTACATGTTGCTGGAATTGTTTGAGTTTTTGAGATCTGAATGCGAGTTTTTAAATATATTATGCTTGTGAGAATGTTGGTTACTTGTATATTAAAATAGCAAAAAGTCGGAGAACTGTTGTAGGTAAGAAAGTAAAGCAATTATTTTGCTTATATTTGCCATCTAGTTTTCTATCAGTATCAGTTATCTTATTTTTTGTTTTTTTAATGTCTTCCAAAATTTAAGCTTAAATAGTGTTTAAAAAATGCTCTTTCACAGTGTTTTGAAGTTTGCATTAAATTTTGTTTTTGTTACGAGATTTTTATCAATATTTAGAAATTTCATTGAATGAGTGTTAATCAAACTAAATTTTAAAAAAAAATATTTGTAACAAAGTTTATTAAACACTGTAGGGCTTTAATACAGAATTTTTCTTAGGTTTGCTATGAGTTAACTTCGAATGAAACATATATTTAAGTGCCTAAATAAATTTAAATCATTAACAGCTCATTTGAATGGGTTGTACTGGACCCATAAGTTTGATGTTATATTATAATGTTTGACATGCTGTTTAGAGATGTAAAATGAATCAGATTTTTTTTCCTGGAAATATTTTCTTGGTTTCAATCATTTAAGTAAAGTTTTTGAATACTTACTTTTTTTTAATGTGCAGAATGATTTTAACATTCTAGTTAAACTGTATATTTTTACTGTAAATTGCTATACCTGGATGTTAATATGAAGAAAACATTGTGTATTCAATGCCATTTAACTATTGCATTTCATTTGTTAATGTATACATTTTTAGTTTTGTGCATTTAATTTATTAAATTAATATGATCTTCGATCTTTCTTGAAAGTTTTGTAACAAAAGTTATCTTTATGATGAGAAATATTGCATGGCAATCATTTGTGAAAGCAAGTGTTGTTTATAGTACATACAAAAGAAATTGCTTAAAATATTTTTTCCTTTAGTTTTTAAAGGTCCACCTGGCATGGCTGTTTCTGTAAACATTGCCAAACTTTCTGTCCAGTTCTGGCTATACTGTGTCAGTTACAGAATATTTGTCCATATTGGTGCTACTTAAGCCATTTTGCATTGTGTAAATATGAAAGTGTACATAATTCTTAAACTGTCTTGTAATAAATCATTTCATAAGTTTTTTTGCTCATAGTGTATATGTTGAATAATTATTTTCAGCAATATTTACTTTTAACACCGTAAAAAAATTTTAATTAGAAAAGATTTCTGAACATTAACCAGTTATGTGTTATCAGCTATGATATTTATTTATGTATTGAGAAACACTTCGAAAGGGGATTGTTTAAGGGGTAAGATTGTTATTTATATATATAATATTATATATATAAACAAACCTTTTTTGTATTTAATCCCCTTTTAATATTTAGGAGGTGTTTGGGAAACATTGAAAATTTGTTTGGATTCTCCTATTAATGAAGATTATTTTTGCAGAGCTTGATTGTATATTTTTAGCATGCATTAGTTAAAGGAAGAGACGGACACATATAATCATTTCTTTCATTACTTTAAATTTAAATTGGTATAAAATTATAAAAAGAAATACCGTATTAGACCAATCAAAGCCATGCTGCTAAACTTTATCATTTGAAGAAATCTTAACTTTGTATAATATAAATAATTGCTGTCATTTTTATATTACTATATCTTTTTTAAGTTACTTTTTTTGTTTTTTACATGAAGTAAGCACTTTCTCCACTTCATACTCAGTACAGCTCTGAACCTAATATATTATGTAACTGATTTTTTGCTTAAGTACACATTCAAAACAGCAAATGTGGTGTAAAATAATTGGGATAATGCCTAACAATGGAGCCTATACTTGCATTAATAATATTTACTAAACTAACTAAATTACATTCTTCAATTCCAAAGCCACAAAACTCTTAGTAAATTTTAACATATGCTCTTCTGATTGAATAATCTGTTAATGTTATAATTAATAAATTTTTGTTTGTATTTACTACAAAACTTTTAATTATTATTCAGCATATTTCAAAATATATTGAAAAGTAACACTGACTACTGTTTGTCTAATCTTCATTTTGTCATTTTGATTCCATCATGATCTTCTTATATAATAATGTGTCATAACTGCAGCACAAAAGTGGACTTAATTATCTGAGTCGGTGGCATATCTTTGGTTCAAGGCCTGATGTATATCATTTTCACTCCACCTCACTTTATTGAAAAACTTAACATTGTTCTTATTTAAAATGTTGTTTCACACAGTTAGACACACACACACAAAATACAATTGTGTGGAATGGCCAGTACCTATCAGTCATTTAGACATCTCACCAACGAGACTGTTGCTCAAGATTGCATCACAGGAAGTGATCAGTTTTACCCTTTGAGAATGGAGAAGCTCCATCTCAGTTTTGATTGAGAACACCCCAGGCAAGGGATCCAAGTATCTCTTATCCTACCACTAAGCCTCTTAAGAGGACTTTCAGCTCACCATTATTTTAATTACCCCATGCTGCACAAGCACTACAGCTATAAGCATTAAGCCTTGGATGCTTATAATTGCAGTGCAATGATAGGGCAGCTATAGGTGCAATAGTATAACCTAGCTGCAATAGTATAGAAACTATGGTGTTAGCCAGTATATCAGTAAGTAATTTATATTAGGGTAGGACATTTTTATCTATAAATTGTTTTAATACTTATAAGAAACTGAATAATGACCAAATGAAAATTCTGTAAAAAATTGGGGTCTATCAAATCTTTTATCTGTTGAAATTTCAGATATCTTATGCTTTCTAAATGTTCATTCATGTTTCCTAAGAAATAAAATTGTTTTAATCAATCTTTTAGAAATAACCCAATTTTCACTAACTTTTTTTTTATGCAAATAATAAATTTTTTTTATATGTAATGAAAGAGTGATCACAATTCTTTATGAATTTAATATTTGTAAAGTAGGGTATGTGATCCAAAAATATTTTCTGTTTTAGCAACTAAATAATTTAAACTAATGGACCAGTCTTATTTCTGCTTCAGGTGAAAAACTGTATACTTGTTTGTGACTTTGCACCCATTCATACTTCGTGAATAGTTCCATCATCATTCTTCATTTCTGCGAGCATCGTAGCAAGAGTAGATGCTGTTCCATATTCTTCTGAAGGAAAGCAAATTTGTATTCCTTTTAGTTTTTATTAATGCTTATTTTATATTATTTTTTTATTAAGAGGTGGTGAAAATGGTTATTTTTTATTATATATATATATATCTGTAAGATAAAAAAATATGTTCTCTGTATTCTAAAAATTGCAGTCACTTTTTGGACTGTGCCATTTTTAGATTAATCTGTGTAATGCTGATGACGTAGCTAATTCAGAACTTGAACTCAAATTTTGAGAACTGAAACCTATCTAACCTAAACCAAAACCTTCTCTTGGTGAGCTTTCATACTGGATAATTGCGCACTTTAGCTTCTGGCTTTTTTCTATAATGACGTTATTTCGCTATGCTCTCTTCATGTCTCACTAGTATGAAAATTGTAAATGTTTTTTTATGGTTAGAGTGTCAAGTAAAATGCGATCACAAGTGCCAGTTGAAATAAAAATGAATATTTAATATTACTTCGTTTCCTAGTCATTAAGGGAGCCATTTTAGCATCCTACTGAATCAGAATTCTTCCTCTTCTTATGGATCTACGTTCTAAGCTATCTATGTGCTATGCCATCAACATTTGCTTCGTCTTTTTCATCATGTATATATATTCATTTTAACACCAGCTTAGTCAAGTAAGATCAAGTGTACATCTGCATAACGTCATTTTTGGTCAGTAAGCTTTGAGTTTGCTGTTTTATGTTATCCTTTTCT